TATGTGATATTTTAAGTGTTCAAGTGTGGTATCTCAGGTTTTGAAGTTAGGTAAGTGACAAAATAAAAGTTGGTGAAAGTTATCGTAAATTCCTTTTTAAAGATTTGTCTGAAATTTGAGTCAAATGTCTCAGACGTTTTCTCCCAATCTATTAAGAGTTATGGTCCCCGCGAGCTATGAAATTGAAGGTCTACGAGTCTAGTTTCCAACGCATCAAACCGTTCGTTCATACGACTTCAGAATAGAGAGATATTCGCATTTTCATGGAACTGCGCAAGCAGGCATGTGAGGTGGGGCCCTAAATCGGTGGAATGTTACATATATCTTCTCCTTAGACCTTTTTCACCATTTTTAAGCTAAAAAAACAGAGAAATTACAGAAACCCATTTCTAGGATCAAGTGAAATATAGATTTTCTCGACTTAAGTCCTTGATGAAAGTTGTTCTACGCATTGGGCTCATCATCGTGGTATAATTTATTTTATCGATTGCATAGCATATCACAGTTTAGTGTTGGGACAACAAGGGTTTGGATATATTTGAAGGTTTTGAAGCGTATTACGACCTTAAGATCGAGGTAAAATCCTTCTTTCATCGACTCTAGCTTTTATAAGCAGCAAATAGCAATTTGCAACGGAAATACATATATTTTATCATATTGTCATGGTATCTTTTATTTTTGTGTGTTGATTATGGTCCTACCTTGTTGTAGTATCGAGGGAGTATTGAGTAAAAGTAATTAGGCCACGTGAATTTAGCGAAAAAGGTACGTTAAGACTATTCCCTACTTACGACATGTTTCCTTAAAGCTTAGAAGCAATGTATTTGGGTTGTTATCCTTGATATACTTGTAGCCGTGATTGTTGATTGTTGGCTGCTCGAGTTGATATAATCCTCTCTTGTCGGGATTCTTATTCACTTAGTAGTGTCCCTATGTTGGACACGACTTAAAGGCTATTTGTATAGGTTGCTTATAACTAAATTGATCGCTTTTAGCGGTTGGATTGTTATTATTGCCGTTGGGGCAATTGTGGTTAGCTGCAGGAATGTGATATATGCCTAGAAGGGCTATGTTCTGCCTACAAGGCTATATGGATGCCTAACAGGGCTATGAGTTGCCTACATGGCTATATTGACGCCTAAGAAGGCTATGTGCTTCCTACAGGGCCATGTTGTTGCCTGAGAGGGCTATGAGTTGTCTATAAGTTATGTTGATGCCTAAGAGAGCTATGTGCTACCTACGAGGCTATATTAATGCCTAAGAGGGCTATGTGACTGCCTACGGGGCTAGGGGACTACTGATAGGGGTATATAGGTTGATTGACACCTTTCGAGCTTATGGGGGCCTGAGTAGGTGGTCTTGTGTGCTGTTTGTACCTGCCGAGCTTATGGGGGCTTGGTTAGGTTGTGGTTTTATTATTTTTGATAAGTTTAGATTTAGGAGCAGGTCAGTACAGTTATCTTAGCCTTGATTTATTTATTGGATTATTCCAGTATATCAGGATACCTCATCATAGTCTATTGCCTTTCATACTCTGTACATTATTTTGTATTGATGCCCCATGGCCTTGGAGGCATTCATGCATGCAGGTCCTAACAGACGACTGAGTAGACCTCTTCAGCAGCATGATTGACTTTTATCCGGTTGGCTAGCCCCTTTCCTCCGGAGCTGCAAGAGTTGGGAGGTTTGTTACCTTTTGTTGTATATATCTTTATGGGTAGGCTGGGGCCCCATCCCACCAATCTTTACTACTCTTAGAGTCTTGCAGACTAGTGTGTGAGGCTTATAGCTATGTTATGGCCATGCTGGCCCATGTTGTTGGTTTGCGGAAGCTTGTGAGCTGTTTGATGTATTATATTGATATATACCTGCTTTTAGTTTTGGTATAGATATCATGGTGGCCTCGACGACCCAATCAGGACTTCTGTGCTAGTTGACTATTTATTTATATGATCTCCTGGGAGTAGTTGTTTCTTTTATAAATCAGTTGACAGGGGCCTTGCCGGCCGATGACTTAGTTTTAAGCCGAGATATACTTGTTTGATTTCTTGATTGCATGTGGCTGCCATGCACTAGTAGCAAATGATTTAGCAGGGTCGGCTCGGGCCTGAGTGTTGGCATTAGAAGCCAGTTGCGCCCCTCGAGTTTAGGGCGTGACAATTTCCTCCATCTTTTGTAGATCTAAAAATCATTTGACTATCATATTACCTATTGTTATTGAATTCACTTTGGATTTTGCTATCATCTCCAACTCCAATATGCACTTTTCGAAAATCAACTGACCACACAAACTTATAAAAAATGTCATCTTCTAATTCTCCGATTGGCAACCTCAAATTCTATTCAACAATGTTATCATTACCAATTGAATGAAACTTCACTAAAATTATGAATAATAATTAAAAAATATATATATATAAAAAGAATAGAAAGAAGAAGGTAATGTGCATTTGAGTTTCATATCAATGGACAAAAAGTTATGCAAAGAAAAGTCAAAAGAGGATTAAAAGCAAAAAAGCAAAAGAGAAAGGAAAATGTAAAATAAAGACAAAGAATAATAATTTTTTTTATTAAAAAAATAGTATAATATTATGTGGCAGGTGAGTATATATCACTACTTAACATAAATCTGGTTATAACTTTTTAAGAAAGTATATATTTCACTTTTAAAATGTTTTGAAAGGTGATAGGACACCCGTAAAGTTGAAATGTGTAGTTGGGATTTCGGGTATAGATTGAGGGGGTTTTAGACCATTTTCTCGTTGTTTTTCAATGTAGAAATAAATGGCTATTTATTTCAGCATCCTGATCACACATAAAACAAGTAAATATGTCTACCTCTTCTCTATAGTACTTCATGAGTCAAACAAGCTTTTCTACAGACTAACCACACGAAACAATAAACTTTTAAGGGGGCTTTGACTTTCCATATTATCTTCCAAGGCCAATTCCTAATCTGTAGTTGGCTAGCATTTCTCCTCCAATAGCATAACTTCATAATGAACTCACATTTGTTGTGAAATTTCCATATTGGTTTGTCAAGTGCATTTGGTAGTTCCATTGAAATAATTTATTATCATAAGCAAATCTACAACTCTTCGAACCTCCTAATAATTTAAGGGCCTTCTAAAGTTGAAATTCCAACCTTGTATCTATAGTGACCCTAGTCTATTGACCGAGGAGGAACAAAAATTTTAAGCTCATTTCACCTATTCAAAGTTCATTCTAGAACTCAATCTTAAAGTCATTACTCACCTTGAGTTGAATAGTTCTATGAAATTGGGGCCAGAGTCTCCAAACAGTCTTCCAAACACTACAACCAAAAGTTCTAAGGACATCTTCAGTAATCCAATGACTTTGAAGTTTATATTTCTCAACTCACTCCAAGTATACACAAGAACATATTCCACAAATTTGCAATTGTTTTTCAACGTAGAAATAAATGGCTATTTATTTCAGCATCCTGATCACACATAAAACAAGTACGTCTACCTCTTCTCTATAGTACTTCATGTAACCACACAAAACAAGAAATTTTTAAGGGGACTTTTGCTTTCCATATTATCTTCCAAAGCCAATTCCTAATCTGTAGTTGGCTAGTATTTCTCCTCCAATAACTTCACAGTGAACTCACTTTTGTTGTGAAGTTTCCATACTGGTTAAAAAAAGGGTACTCGCACTGCAGTCTGCTTGCCTAAAATGAAAATCCTTACGACTAAATAGATATGGGCATAAAGAGGGAATCCTGAACTACAGGCGCTCTTTGGACATTTCAAACTTAGCAAACTAAAACATCTTAGTAGGTTAATCGTTGGAGACAAGAACGAGTGAATCTAGTTTCGAGAGCATGCCTTACTCTAATAGGGGGAATATAGTTTCTAGTCACTTAGTCGAACTAGAAAACTATAAAGAAAGGGAGGCTAAGAAGGTTTGTCAGGTGCATTGGTAGTTCCATTGAAATCATTTATTATCATAAGCAAATCTACAACTCTTTGAACATCCCAATCATTTAAGGCCCTTCTAAAGTTAAATTCCAACCTTGTATTTATAGTGACCCTAGTCTGTTGACCGAGGAGGAACATAAATTTTAAGCTCATTTCACCTATCCAAAGTTCATTCTTTTTTTTTTTTTTTACCGTGGTTTTCGGGCGTCGCTTTGCGAACCCGACTAGCTGTACCCACCGGGTCCCGCTGTTTCAAGGCGGGTCCACCACGATTAGTTCCACGGGGCCCTGGAGACGCGGCCGATTTGTAATGCCTCCAGTGGCCCTGCTGGGGCTCAAACCTATCCAAAGTTCATTCTAGAACTCAATCTTAAAGCCATTACTCACCTTGAGTTGAATAGTTTTTTGAAACTGAGGCCAGAGTTTCCAAAAAGTCTTCCAGACACTACGACCAAAAGTTCTAAGGACATCTTTAATGATCCAGTGACTTTGAAGTCCATATTTCTCAATGATGATTCTTTTCCATAAAGGCATTATCCTGGACACAAAACCTACCTATCTTCATAAGCTAAAGATTAAAATTGCATTCACCTCCCTCTCCGAACCCCATATATGAGATTATACTAGATTTATTATTACATACTAAATATAGCATCATATACAAGTTCACAAAATCCAACAATTTTAACACAAACCTTGTTTATATAGTCAAATTAATCATTCAATAACACCATAAAATTTTGATTGTGAACACAATCATCATTGAACATTAGTTTAAGATACATAAACAACCATTCAAAATCAATAAATTTCAAATATTGAAATAATTTCTAATAGAATTTCAACCATACTAATCATTTCATTTTAACCATAGTTGCAAAATGCAAGGGGAAAAGCAAAGCAAAATTCACAACAGATTTTTTCCATTTTTCAAAGGGCTACACAAATGGACTGAAAATATCAAATACTTAAGTCATACACAACACAAAATCATACCCTTAATCCAAACATAACCCTAAATCCCCCAAAACACTTAGTAAACTGTCATAACAAAACCACTAAATTTCCCCATTAAACAAAATAAAATTAAAATTAATCACTTAATTTTCTCAATAATTTCAGAAATGACCTTGTCCATATTAAGTGCCTTCATAGGTCCAAATGGCCTCTTCATATCCAAAAGGCAAACAAACTTCTCCCCCTTTACACCATCGACCCGGATTTCAAAACAACCCCTTCTCGGCTTTTCCGGGTTGACCCGAACCTCCAAACCGGGTACCCCTTTTTCCAGCTCCTCCTTCACTTTCACAGCCCGTATCTTGAACTGACTGCACTGTGTACAGTGCTCAACAACAACAATCTTCTTCGACCCGGAATCAACCGGAGCCTTCACTTTCGATTTCGCCTCAGAAACGGTACCCTTTTTGACCCGTTTTGGTTTTGGTGAAACCGGGTCAACTGAAACGGGTTTCGAGTTGCCATTCCTGGTTTGGCTTCGGGTTACACGGGTCTGCAATGGCTCCCCCACAGTTGCCTTTCTCTTTGGAGCCATTAGAGAGATTTCTAGGGTTTTTTTTTGCTGTATTTTTGGGGATATTTGAGAAAAATGAAGTGAGAGTTGTGTTATTTATAGGCCATTTTTTTGGTCTTTGGATATTAATTTTCCCGCGCTTTTTAATAGCTGGGATTAATTCAGACTATTTTTTTTAAGACAAAATACTTCATCTGTCCCTAATTACTTGTTCCTTTTTTATTTGATAAATTTATTTAAAAAAATAATGATTGACATAGTGAATTTATTATTTTACCTTTATTAATTATGAAGTTGATGAATTAAAAATTTAAGATTTTCAAAAAGTTATACCTTTTTTTCAAAGTTAATTAATTGAAGATATAATAAGTTAAAAAAATTATCCTTTCTTGATTTGTGAAAATGAACAAGTAAAAAGAAAAATTTGACAAGTAATTTGGGACGGAGCGAGTAATAATATTACCAGTTTTGGGGGACTAGCGCATGGATTTCTTTCCTTATTTAAAAAAAAAATTGAAGTAATTTGCATAAGTAAAATCAGTGAGATCTGAAATTCTAAAGTTAAATAGCTAAATACTTTATGAATTTACCAAAATAGGATTAGTAAGTGTAAATATAATTATAATAAACATAATTTTATACCAATGTCTACTTTTTAAAATTATAATAATCAAATAATATTCTCTACTTGCATAAACTAAAATAAAAACATTAATTCTGTCCTTTTTTTGGAGTCCAAATGACAATATTCCCAACTTTTGGGGAATAAGACATGAATTTTTTTTCCATTTAAAAAAAAGAAGAAGATCTAACTTGGTAATATTTTAATATACTTGATGAATTTTACTAAGTTAGGATTAGTAAGTGTGGATATAATTTGAAAAAAACATATATAGTATACCAAAATATTTCGATTTTTTTAAAAAATAATTAAATTACATTCTCCACCTGCGTGAACTAAATAAGCCTAAGAATTCATGAAAATCATTTCCAATTAGGGAGTAATACAATTTTATATGAAACTAGTATATCAGCTTCATGTATATATAATTTTGTAAAATAATATCAATATTATTAAAATAAAAATTTGAATTTATAAATATACTTTAAAGAATAAAGTATATTTTTTGTGAATAAACAATGTGAATTGTGGTAGAGTTACTTATTTGTCGAGGTTAAGATGATTGAATATTGTTTGAACACAAAGAAATAAACAATTGAAGTTGAGGGATAACTCTCTTAGAAATATATTTTCTTCGACGACAGTTGTAGAAATGAGGATGTTGCGATATGGACATATTAGGAGAAATAAGATTAGGAATGAGAATATACTGGACAAAGTGAAATTGATATCAGTGGAGGACAAGATGGGAAGCGAGATTGATATTGTTCAGACATGTGAAGAGGAGATACACATATGCTCCACCATGGAGGTGAGAGAGGTTTGCTATCGGTGGTTTCAAGAGAGGTAGAAGGAGGTCAAAAGAGTATTGAGGTAATTAGACAACTTAGTGGAGTATCAACTTGCTGAGAGCATGACTTTAGAAAAGAAGTTTGTGGAGGACACGAATTAGAATAGGAGGTTAGTAGGAAGTAGTGTATTGTCTTGCTATTTGTCCTTACTAGTAGTCGTACTATTACTCCTTTAATTTCTTGTCATTTTATTTATATTACTTCTGTTGTTGCTTGTACTTCAATCATCATAATACTTTCCACACAAAGAGAGTTAGTCTTATATACCTTAATCGCTCCACATACTTTAAAACACTTAAAATTATATGGTCCTAATGCATGTTATAGATGTAATGGAAGAATGAACAACATAAACATCAAAAAAAAAAATTATATTACATGAATCATTTCACTCAAATAAAGCTTTACAAAGTTTGTCAACAAATAGCTGAAAAACATGAACTGTTATCATCAGCTGAAGAACACCAACTCATCTCATCTGGATTCTGCAGTGGCAGAATTCAAATTTTAGAGCGTCTACGAGCAGCATTGCGTCTTGCACAGCATCCCACGAAGTAGATCATCGACTGACACAAGTAAGAATCAGCAGAGGATGAGAATGAGAAGAAGTCATATGAACAAATTCAAGTCATCGGAGAAATCACAGAGGCGGAGCTAGATTACTAGCTATGAGTTTAGACGAATCCAGTAACTTTGCCTAAGACCCTATATTTGTGGAAATCCATTAAATATGTAGTTGAGAATTCAGTAACTAAGAAGAGTTATGGATTCAGTGGCAAGTTCAAAACCCATAAACTTCAAATCTTAGCTCATAAATGTAACTATACTTCAGGAACCTGAAACGAGAGTTGTTATGCTCACTTTTTGAGATCTTAATTAGGAGAGTTAACTTACCAAAACGACAAAGAGAATCACGTTGAAGATAGCAACCACTCTCCATTCAGTTTTCATGTATTGTGCAACACCAGCCCTGAAAGATAATATAGTAGGATAAGAGCCGTGAGCAGCATAACCTTAGCGAAGAATGACAAGACCAGAAGACGACTCTTACTTGCAGGAATCACAACTATAGCACTTGACGTTCTTCGAGTTTTTGTAAAGCTTGCAGTCCTTGCTTGAACTCGCCGGATGAAAGCTCAAGTCATAGTATGTGGCGTTAACAGCAGGGTAACCACATCTACAAAAGGAGCAGAGTATTTCTGAGTCCTTGGAATGAATGGGATGATGCTAGGAAGGATTTCAATATCAAACACGCGAGATATAGAGGAATAGGTGAAACAACATATACAAAAGATATATGTGACTTGCACAACTTGCATTATGAGCATATTGATCACGAATCATTTTAACACTTATCTATAACACATCTTACTCTTTTTGTAATTACTAATTCACAAAGTGAGCTTTCACTTAATTGTAAAATAACTGCTAGATGATATTAATGTGTTCACGGAGTAGTATGAAACGAAAATATCTTGCACAAGAAAGAAAAGGAAAAACAAACAAATAATAATAACAATAACTTACTCAGATGGTGGTTTGCAGCAACCAGCTTCAATAGGTGTTAGTTTTGCTAATTTGTATTGCTTGGCAGTCTGCAACAAACAGCAGAAGCATTAATAATATGATTTCACAGATATAAATCATGAACAGGTTCAAGTCGGAACATGACCTTGTATCGTTTTGATAGGTTACTACAGTCATCAGTCTTGACAAGACAGCTTTTCAGATGCTTCCAGTTATGGGTGTTATTGAGCTGAAACAAATGAGCAAATGGTTAATCAATGCATGAAATTTTCATCTTAAGGCATCTGAAACAACTCCTATAACGATCAGGACATGATGCCTTTGCCCTATAACCTGCGACTTATTACTTACTCCGTCCCAATTTATGTGACACCATTTGACTTGGCACAAATTTTAAGAAAGAAAGGAAAACTTTTGAAATTTGTGGTCCTGTGGCTATAGATAATTTCACTAAGAGAAAAATGAAAACGTAAGTTAAATTGTCTCCAATTAAAGAAATGTGACATTTGTTTTGGGACGGGCTAAAAAGGAAAGTGTGTCACATAAATTGTGACAAAGGTAGTATTTGCATATAAACAGGTGCTTACTTGTTTTAGAAACCACGAACTGTAGTCTTGAAGTTGATACTCCTTGTACCTGCCCACACAAAAACCATTAGCGATCTCACACTTCTAAGAATATCACAGGAGTAAGTAAAAGGATAAAGGGAAACTAGAAAAACTTGTGACCGTCTCGATGAAATATACAAGCACAATCCATGTCTGTGAGACACATTGAGAACCAAAGTGAGACTGAGCAAGACGTGGATTGAGAAAAAGAGTGGAGAAAGGGGAAGTTACTGAGGGGATGAAGAGAGGAGATATTGAGATCACAGACAGTATGACAGGTGATTGTACCTTTGTCCATTAACACTATGACCTGAGCTGTTATTCGTCACAATGAACCTGTCGCAAAGCAAACCAAAATAAGTGTCACAGTAATATGTAGGTATCAGCCATTTCTGACATCAGCATGCACATAGACACAGTAATTGCCACCTTGTGCCTGTTAACCCTGACACAACAGTAGTTGCTGTTTAATGAAGGATTAAAAATGGCAAACAAGTTTAGAGTTCCACATTCAAGACAGATTGCAGATAGAATTAATAATGAAGTTAATTGAAAACCAAGCCGGACTCTTGCATGCTTAGACTATCACTTGCTAGTGTAGTTTTTGTCACTGTGAAAAAAAAAAAAAAAAAGGAAAAAGCAGAAGAAGATTTGGTTGTGCATTCCCCTTTGCATTAAGTGGGCAGTATGGCTGGAAAGAAATTGTAGGTGCTTTATCATATTCCTTTTCAAGGTCACTGGACACCATGTGTAAGTCTCTCTTCCTTTCCCTCTACTACTTCACCAGTCTCCTCACAAGATGAATGGCTTAATCAACATATCTGACCAATATAAGAAATTTCTCCCATCATTCAGACTAAAGAGGGGAGCAGCACCATTACTTGGGTTGGTATCGATAAGTCGTGCCATAACACTGGAACTTCCTATATGGTCCAGAAGGACTTAAGAAAGTTTTATGCACTTTAGATGGATGTAGGATTACTACTTTACCTGATGAAGTCTCAGCTGAGACATCGTGCCTTGCCACACTATACATTGAAAATCGTATCACGTTCCAGTAGAATCAGAGGAGTCCTCACCCAGGGCTTTGGTTCAATAGCAAAGGTAGTACAATGCGGGATTAGTGGTAAGCACAAGAAGTGAGTTCTAACCCTGTTGCGAACAAAATCTGGTATTAAAGAGAAGGGTAGAGGGGCGGATTATCAACAAGTTTTGGAGCTAGAAACAATCGGTCTCTTGGTTATAAAAGAATTCAAGCAGACCTATGAACGTTACACCTAACGTTGCTACTTTAACTGTGAAGGCCTCTACCAATTGCTGGTTAACAAGACCAAAGAACAAAATACTTGAGAAAGAATTCTCCTCTATGAAATAATCATCATTTGTGTGTTTAACTCCAAAATGAAAAAGGAAATAGGTTTCAACCTGGCGGTACTAGGGCGCTTACCAAATTTGAGCAAATCTATACATCATTTGACTCTTTTTTAAGCTAATTTTAGTACATCAAAAGTTGTACCCAAAATCTAAGCACACTGCGCACAGGGACAACGGATCAGGAATAAAGACACACACAATGCTGGAACCTATAGAACAACTAGTTAAGACTATTCATGATATTGTATTTCTTTTCTTCCCTAATCAAAATAATTTTTAGCCAAGGCGGTGAAAGCTTGATTCACCAGCCTCCAAGAAGCAGAGTAGGATCCAGTCAGGGGACCAACCCAGAGGCAATGTCTTACGATGATGTAGCTAATTAGCTATTGATAGACTCCTAAAGAACCCTCAATAATACACCTCATGGCTTGTAACTTGGAAAGCATAAAACAAATAAAACAAGCAGGATGTTAAATCAAACTATAGTTACATTCATACATGATGAAGATAGACCATAAACATAGCAATAACTAAAATATCTCGGTGGACTACAACTACAGTCACAAATATGGTAATGCCTTTTAACTTCATACTGAAATCGCCTCCATAAAACAGTACACATGTAGTTATCGTGTGCATTGATAAGTAACCATAAACGTGTCTATAAACATTTGTTGTAACACATCTTCATTATAATTTATTTGATCTTGGGTATTGCAATACAGAGGCGAGAAAAAAGGGGAAAACAAATGGCTGATCTATCAGCAATAACAGATATATAATGCACCAAATTCTTAATGAAATTCCAAGAAGCATTACTTACGCTAAAACGGTGAAGACCAATATTGCCACCAAAATTAAGCACAACATGATCAGATACTGAAATATAATGTTAAGGAGAAGCAACCAAAAAGGTTATGCCAATCAAGAATAAGAAAAAAAATTGCACTTCATGTGACATTTGATAAAGTGAGGATACAATCCACAACAAGATGGAGTTGTTCTTCCATGCTCCAAGGAACCCAACAATTGATCTGAAAATCATGGAAAGAAGAATGATTATAACAATATACATAAACAAACATTGAGTGGTTAAAGGGTTAAGGGAAACTAAATGAACAAGTGCGTTTTTATGTGAAGGAAAACATTTTCCAGAAACCTACACGACGAATATAACTCCTCCAAGACCTAGAACAGGCAGAGTGAGAGACTTTCGACAGACATCATGATGAGCGCTCATCCAAATCCCAAAACCTATGACGCCCACAGCTAACAGCTGCATTTTCAAGATCCAAATGGAGTACAAAAACAGTTAAACACCACCAAAAAAATAAAAATAAAATAAACTTCCTGCTCTAAACTAAGAACTAGAAAAAACTCAATTTGAAAAACAAGTAAATAGAGCATGTGTTCAGTAATGTTTTCCAATTTTCCCACGTTCGATTGGTCAAATATTTTGGAAAACAAGCTCCTTAAAAATGACGAAAATGACTCCTCTAATGAATATAGGAAAAACAAGTTCCTCTAGTTATATTCCACATCGATTGTGTTCTCCCCACCCTCCAACACACTTCACCCCCACATCCAAATCCCACCTCTCATTTTAGGATAATATCTTTTGCTTACTTGTCGAACACAAAAAAAAAAAAGTAATAAACTCACTTATTTTCTTAGAAAACATTTTCCTTCATACCAAACATACCTAGAAAGCAAAATATTCTACCTCAGATTGAAAACTAGTACAAAAGGAGGTAAAAATTGGTTCTTTTCTTCTGAAACAACAATTAAATCAAGCTCAACTGAACAACTACAATCACATTGAACCAAAAGAAATAGCATTTAGAATAAATTGAAACACTGAAACTAACAAGCATCTAAGTGAAGTTGCCAACCACATCAAGAAACACAAACCCCAAACCAGTTTAGGGGTTCATCTTTTCAACTCAATGAAACAAAAACAAAACAACCCAAGTTACACATAAGGTAGCAAAGCAGGAAAAATCAGCTAGAGCTGAAAAGAAACTGAAAATATGAAAAGGGGTTCATATATACCATTGTAAGAAAATTGATCCATCTTATCACAAAAATACTAGTTGATGTACTCATCCTCCCCTTTTCTTGTCTTTTTGAGCTTGTTACTCTTTCTTGAACCCCAAAAATCAATACATATAGATACAATAAATGTAGAAAAAGACAGAGGAAAACAGATAGAGCTGAAAAAATTGGGTGTCAGAAATTCTAAAAGACAAAAAAGATGGAAACTTTATGCAGAGAAGTGGCACTTGCAGTGCAAGAAAGCAAGAAAGCAAGAAAACAAGAAAAAAGGGAAGGTAAAGGGATGATTTTTTTGAAAAAAGAGAGGGCAATTTTGTGGGGTTAAGGTAAAGAAGATGAGGGTAAAATGGGAAAGAAAAAAGTTATTTCTATTTTTGGTTCTAGTTTACAAAATACTACACGACACGATATGGTGGATAACTGAATTAAATTAAAGAAGAAGAAAGAAGTAGCTCACAAGTTTGGATTTTTGCTAACAGAGAATTTTAAAATATAGTTTTACTAAATATTTGCATAGCTGTGAATTACATTTTTTTGATTTGGTTGTACAGTGTACTCTTGTGACACTGAAATGATAGTATATTTTTTATTTTATTGTTAATGATCCCCTATGGCATGATATCGCTTTTTGATAAAAAGATTCGGAGATTGAAGATTAGGATAGAATGATAGAAGATAATTATGTGTTGTAGTAGGCATGGAACTAGTTTCCTTTTCTCATTTTCTTCTTATTTAGTAATTTTATCTAATATTCGCTTAGTAGTTTATTCTTCAGGTTCATTATTAATTGTTACTTTGATGTATTTGTAAAATTATAGGAGGTATGTAATATGTTAGTTATTGTATTATTTATCTGTGAATTTATAACGGACATGATATGTTTGAAGGAGCATACAATATGATTCATAATTGTGAAATCAAAGTAAATTAAAGCTAGAATATTAGTGGCCCTTATATTCGTACCAAACATGTTTATTTAATACTGAGTCTATGGACTAAAATATAGTAGTTTATATGTAGTGGTTAGTAAAAATTTGAAGGAATAAAAACAAGAAAAAGATATGAATTGACTCATACTTTTTCTTGCAAAAAGAAACAAATTTGAGTAGGTAATTGATATTTGATTCTAAATGAACCATTTGTGATAAAGTAAGTTAGTCTAGATTGTTATCTTTTCTTGTTTTTATTCCTTTCAAATTGGTACGAATGTATTTAAGCTGCTTATAGATCTCATATTAAAATTTTCTTTTTAAAATTCTAAATTCGATAACATTATTTTATATAAATTGAGACGAAGGGAGTAGTTTTTATTTAAACTTGGTAAATTCACTAACAATGTTCATGATAACTTTCCATTGTTATGAACTTATAATTGCAATTAAATCCATTGCATTGTCAAGACAAACACCAATTATTTGAACACTTTTTGTGGGGTTGGAGGGAGGCCTACTTAGGAAAAAGGCAAAAGAATCCAACACTTTTAATAATAAAATACTCAATTCTATATTACGTGATATTATTTTCATTTTAATTTGTTCTAAGAAAAAAAAACTGTGCATTTATATATATTTGCTAGAATCTAAGCAAGTCAATTTTTAACTTTTGACTTACACTTCTGATATGATCAACCACACTAGTTCTTAAAACATTTTTTTTCACATGATTTTCTTAAAAAAGAATAACATATATATTTTTATATTTAAAAATAATTTATTTAACATTTATAAACTTTTCATTATACCTTAGAACGCAAAGTCATACTACCAATAAAAAAAATTCTCGTTATATTTACTTAGTTATTCCAGCATTATATCGATCGAAACGAGTGAACGTAATTCTTTATAATTATCTTACGTGAATATTAACATTGACGTATAAGTAAAATTTTAGACGAAGATTAACATAGAATGAAGTAAATAAATAAATTGTTGTTGATAAATGGATACAAATTTCTTATGACTTATCATCTTGTGTTTCCTCAGCAGCACTAGTAGTACTAGAACCTTCTTGTTCAACATTGATTAAACTTTCATTTTTCTTCATTGAAGCATTTTTGCTTAGATGATTATATGAACCTTTTTCTTTGAACAATTGAGAGAAATGAGGTTTGCAATAGAGACCTCCATCAAATGCAGCATAGGATGATGTTGTAAGTTTACAACCTCCATGGACACATCTAAAACATATCTTGTGGTACATTTCACCGTCCACCGTCACCTGAAAAAAATATTTATTCAAAGGCAGATTCAAAATTTTAAGTAAGTAAGTGCAGAACGTTATATCATGCACCCACTAATGAATGAAGGGTTAATTACATTCTTAGTCCCTAAATTATTGGTAAATTATAATTTAGCCCTTCAATTACCTGAAATATGCACTTTCGATCGATTTACTTATGAATACTTAGAATTTTTCATCTTCGATATTGAGATTAGGAATCTCGCCTTTTCTTAAGGTTTTACTAAAAATATTGTCGCTATATCAATGGCCTAAGAAAATTAATCTTTCTCGATAAAATCAGTTGAGCAGAGGGTAAAATGCTTTTGAAAATAGTTCAACTATGAGATATTCCCGACACATAAATGAACTAAAAATACACATTTTAATAAATTGAAAATTAAAGATGTTATGTTTTGTATATATCACAAGGATCAAAATCAGAATTAACCAACGTAATGAAACTTGGAGGTGTGTTGTTAATTTAATTATCATGAATAAAATGTAGAAATTAGTTTTCTTTTTCCAAAATAACAAACTTCCATACATTATAAGACTAGAGAGAAACTAAAAAAATTGTTGACATGAATTTGTGTTAATTTTAAGAAGAAATTTGATTATATTAATTAGTTCTAAGAGGAAATTAATAAATAAAGTAAAAATACTAACCTTCTCCAAGGGGTAAACAGTCTTTTTACAAGCTGCACATTTATCTTGAGTACCAGAAAATAGAGCCGAAACTTTGCTAGAGCTTCTGTTCTGTTAAATATATAACAATAAAAATATACAAAAAATTAATTTTGCTATTACAGTATCAATGTTACCTATAAACGCAGGCAAAGTCAGAATTTGAAGTTTATGATTCTGAATATGTCGTTGACTCATAGCTTGTTTTAGTTTTTGGGTTCGTAAATTCAATATCTATACATATTTAATGAATTTAAACAAAAAATACTAGCTTTGTTTGAACCTGTATCATAGCTCATAGTCTTGATCGTAAAAATAATTTTAGAGAATGTAAAATAAATGATACATACCAGTTCATTCTGCCTTCCCACTGCTCAAGAAATAAGGAAACAAATAAATAATTAGGCAAAGAAATGATTAATTAAAATTAATTGTTGGATTTAATTTTTTTAAATGTATTAATTAAAATTAAATTACATGATGCAGAGTGCTTCAAGGGAGCTCCTCCTTTCTCCTTGTAGATTTGTTCAAAATGAGGCTTACAATATAATACTGCATCAAGGGTTGAATATGTGCTCAACTGCAATTAAAAAAAGATTAATCAAAATGTATTATAAAAATATTAATTAATGTTGATGAAATAAAATTGTTTTAAGAACTATAGATAACAAAATATACAATTGATTCTTATTCCAATTATTTGAAGGGGACGACCCCTAAATCAATAAATACCATTATTATTGTGGGATCGTAATGATAAGAGTTATCGTCGTTTGATCAGGAGTCATAAATTTAAACAACAGAAACAATCACTTGCAAATAATGCAAGGTACACTATGGTCCACGCCATTCTTGAACCCGTGCATTGCAAAACCTAAATACACATGGCAAACTATATATCGTCCATATAAACTATACATTTCATGATTATATTTTTGCAGTGTTATATAATTATTTTATTGAACATAAAATATTGTTACAATTTATATAGAAAAAAATTGATATGATAATTAATAAAAATCTTACTGCAAGCCTTCCATTGCAATGATTACATCTAAAACATGTATTATGATAAGCAACACCATTTGTAGAGATCATTTCTGCAATATAAACAGTTTTTTCACAAACTTTACATTTTTGTGGGGCCCCTGTAAATGCCATTTTTAAAAAATATTTCAAAGTCTAAATGGGAATTGTGATTTTGAAATCCTTTTTAGCTATCATATACACATATATATAAAAATCTCTATAGCAAGGATTTCAATCTCTATTCCCTAAAAGTTACAAAGATGGAAAAGAAAAAAAAATTGATCATTTACTATTTCTATCTACTAATTTGAACAAATTGTTAAATAGAAAATGAGTGGATATGCAAAAAAATTGTTAGAATTTAGGACACGTAATGATAAGTTAGTTAATTTTGTTGGCAGCTATAAAATGGAATTGAAAAAAAAAATCAAAAGAGGGAAACAAAGGTCCTAGGTTCGAGTCATGAAATCAGGCTTGCCTTTATGCGATGCGACCTACATTACTAGTTGTCGTGAAAAGGGGGTTTATCTGAATTTTCATTGCTGAAAAATCAATACTATGTATATAAGGTCATAATGTTTCATTTTACCTGCATATAGTTTATTTCTCTGCCGTTGCACATTACACCCCCTAAGGTACGGCCCTTCCCCAAACTTTGTGTTAATTTGAAATTCCTTTGCCAAAAAATCATATTATGTATACAAGGTCAAAAATGATGAACTAAGTTAATAAATATTATGTCTCTGCGATTGTACTTTACACCCCCTTAAGGTGAATGTGCATTGGGCTACCCTTATTCCCTTTCTATTGTTTGTAACTCTTTAATTACCACAATAGTAACATGAAAACTTGAACCAAACTTAACAATAATTCTGAGTTTATGTTTATCACACATGATTGTTCTATCAATAATATAAACAACAACTTACTCTATAGTCTATACACATAAGGATCATTAAACAATTACACACAACCAAAGCACATGATTAATGTTTTTGTCAAAAGAAGCAAAATTTAGTAGCCAAAGCATCTCAAGAAATTTTTAGGCATATTGCCAGTAGCACGAAATTTAGCAGCAATTTCCTCAACCTTGAGAATATCTTCGCCTTCTTTCGCCTTAATCATTGCCCTCTTTTCTTCTGCTTCTCTATGAATTTCAGCCATCTTGTTCTTCATCTTCTCTGCGTATTCTGCCTTTTTCTTCTCTAATTCTTCCTGCTCGGATCAAAGGTACGTGTACATGTATATCATATATGTGCTAGAGACTAGCAAAATGTATGAAAAAAAGGTCCTATAGGCTGGTGAGAGGCAGGGGAAGCGACATGATTTTCACTAAGAGATTCAAAGTATAAGAAAGTTAACATATGAAGAAACCAACGAGATTCTACTATATGTACATTAAAGAAAGACATAACAGTATAATTTTCCAACAAAGGGGTTCGGATACACTTCTTTTGCTCCCTAGTTCCATGCATGTATATAGATCCACTAGACTATGCTGTATTCACTTTTATGTTTCTTAATATGAACATTAGTATAAGATATCATAAGAATGAGATTTTGAAACACTTAAAAGTCTGAAAAATAGTAATAAATTAGGAGATAAGCCTAGAAATGTAGTACTGGTAACCCCACCTAGCTCGGCCCCTGGTTTTATGTACTAGTTATTAGTATGTAACAATGGTTTCACCTGAATTTGTCTCAATTCAGCTTCTATAGTTGCCTTTTTTGTGTTCTCCCAAGATCCAACTGTTGATAACTTTTTAAGTGCCCTGATATTTGTTCATCACATGTTCAATATATAATCAACAAAACACAACATATAAATACATAAAAAAACTTCCAAGCTTATGTAAGGGTTTCACTGATGCTCAGAGTCTTCAAAAATACCGCAGAACATATGTTAGATCCTTCAAAAACTATACATTTTTCAAGGATCCGACATGGGTTCAACAACATTTTTGAAAGGTCCGACCAACATTAAGGACTCATTCATACTTGTTTTCAGTTTTTGTTTTTTCATTGTCTTCCCATGCCTTGATCAAAGCCAATCTTTTCTCTGATTCAACCTTTGCAAGTGCAGTATCTATAAAACAAAAATACCATTAAAAACTCAACATATCTTCACCAATAAAACAGGGGAAATATGCACTTTGGGGCCCCACTAATCAAGATTAGCCCAGAGTAAGGCCCATTAAAAAGGGGAAACACTTCCTAACGTGATTTTTTTCTTTTTCAATGTTTAAACTCGAGACCATTGATAAATCCTAGTTATATTATCTTACTTATTTTGCAATCTAAGAAAAAAAGTGAGCCCTGTACACATATTTTCACCAACCTTACCCTATTTTTTTTTAAAGAAAAAGAACTTTTAGTATTCCTCAAAATCCGGCATTTTCATATGTTTTCATTTGGGAAATGATCCTCAAAATAACTTATACTACAGGAAAAATAAAATATAATAATAATAATAATAAATTAGACAAAACCTAAGTACTAAAAATCAGTTGTCAAATTTACCTGTGTCCTTGGAACCACCTGTACTTTTCTGAATTCCAGAATCTATTCCCTCTGTCAAAAATCCAAAATTTTAACCAATCAAAAACCCTTAAATTATAACAAAAATAACACTCAAACTACAATACATATCTTTTTAAAGTAAGTCACAAAGGTTGTTTTCAATAAATCATAAACGTAATTATTATTTTTTTTGAAAAAGTAATAGCAATAAATACAAATAATAAAATAGTACAATAATCGAGGTTAAAGAAACAACAAGCAGTAATAAAAATTTAATACGGAAAAAAACAAGGGCAATTAGTACATACTTTCTTGAACATGGGAAGATATTTTCTCTTTATCATCTAAAGTTGGAACAATTGCAAGTGTATTATTTTCTTCAATTTTCTCATTTGGTTCTTCATTTTTGTGCTCATAATTTTGTGGAGAAACTAATGGGCTTGATTCTTCTTCTCCCATGATTATAATCTATATGATAAATATTTTTTTTTCTTTTCCTAATAGGTGAATGAAAAATTCAGAAAATAGAGAGAAATAAAAATGAAGAATAATATAAAGAGAGTAGGTAAAACTAGAAATAAAGGGAAGTTGGAAGCTGCCAAAAAAAGTCATATTACAGATAGGGAAAGAGTATCCTTTGATGTTAATGGCTGGCATAATTAATTAATTAATCATTTTAAAAAAAAAAAAAAACATGTTTTGTTTTTTTGGTTGTTGTTGTTATTATCGTATAACTTGTCATTTTACAATGTTAATTTTGAATATAATAAATAATTACTGGTATCTTATCTTTTTAGGTAATTTGATAGGATAAATTAAACTCTGGTGTAAATTATTCTTTTTTAAAGATTTTGGCTAGATATTACTTCTCTGTTTCATTTACTTGGCTTAGACTCGACACTCCCAAGTTTATTTTACTTACCCTTTATTAATAATTAAAAAAATAATTCTCTTAGTTTATTAAAATGGACAAATAAAAATATATATTTTAATATAAAATCCAATTAAAATGAAATGTAGGGAGTAACACTGTAATGACAACTTTAGTCATCTTTTTTTGTAAATAACAAATTATAAACTAATGTTTATCTTTAACTACCTAATATGTGATTCAATTATATACATATTTTTTACGCAATTTAAACACTCTGTTTTAAATCTTTTCTTTAACGATAATTGGTCACAATTTATATGAGTTTTGTAATGAACTTATATTGTATTAAAATGGATAATTAGAATTACACATACAATTATAAGAGTTCATCATTTTGATTGCTTCAAACTAGTAACAAATCCTTCAAAAGGAAGAAGTCGAAATAAAAAGGAAGAATGGAGGGAGGTTCCTGATTAATCTAAGCAACTAAGGAATAAGAGATAAGTTCATAGCATAATCCTAATTGAGTATTTCCCTCTTCTATATATAAGAATCTTCCTAGGGTCCCAAATGTAATTTGACATCTTCTCATGTAAGTCCTCCAGCTAAGTTATATCAATAACAAGTTTTAACTTATAAGTAATATATACCAAAAAAGAAGAAGTAATATACACCACAATTAAAATTAGGGGTGTGCATTCGGTTTTTTGGTTTGGTTTTACACTATACGGTTTGAATTTTTTGGTTTTTGGTTTTGTAAAAGTGTAACCCAATCCGATCCAAAATAAATTTGGTTTGGTTAGATTTTCCTCTATTTGGTTCGGCTTTTTTCGGTTTGGTTATTCGGTTATGTCAATAATTAATAACATAACCAAAGTAATAATATTTAATCCCTTAAATATACTTTCCAATATAAATCATAAGTAAAACTTAAAACACAATACTTATAAGTATACCTATTATATATGTAATTCAAACATAAAATATAAACGTAATCATCATCAAAGACAATAACCAAAAATTAACTCCAACTTAATTCTAAACTTAAAACATTATATATATATATATTTCAATTTTTATTTTTTAAAATCCGAAACCAAACCAAAAAACCAAACAAAGTAATTTATTAACCAAAACCAATCTGAAAAACCAAAAAACCAATCCAAATAAAAATTCTATTTGATTTGATTTAGTTATTCGGTTTAATCCGAATAATGCACACCCTACACAATTTGTACACGGTATTTAATTTACAAGTCATAACCATTTTACGTCACACTAATAAATAAATGAAAAGCATATCTTAGATGTTATTTTATTCATCAATTAGAGTTTCCAGGTCTTCCTGATTCAATTGAAATACGTAAAAGAATAATTAATTAGCAGTGATGATGATTATGTGTCTGCATACTGCCAATTGTAAAGCATTATGGGTCTATATTTAGGCTGATTCGTGACACATGTATAAGATAATCATGTTCTATTATTTAAAGTAGACAAGTAATTAAGTTTTTTTAATCATATAGTGTCCAATGTTTATATGGGGTTCGATTAAATTCGAATGGATATTTTTCAATATATATATAATTAGATCAACTAGCTTACAAAATATGTGCAAAAATGATTGAAACACAAGATATACACGGATCATGTATAGATGGTATGCATATTATATGTATGTGTGTGTATATTATATGTAAAATATATGTATATTTAGTCTATACATTGTGTAAATCTTTTATCAACTAGATCATACAAATCACAAGATATTAAAGTGCATGTAACTTTTTCAATTCGAATTCGTGTGTTGCAGTATCTCACAAATCTCAACACTACCAACCACTTTTTTCAATTCCTCTCGAACCAGAAAAACTCTGATTAAATTAGTTTTTTTTAAATCTTCTAATTAAATATTGTAATTTATTTAAATATTCTTATGTTAAATTTCTCAAAATTAGTCAAAGTCATTTTAGTCAATCGCCGGTCAACCGCAAGTTAGCGGGCATTCCGAGGGCCTAACACCTTCTCGGAATGTATATTGAACTTCGAACCCGTTTTCAATTGGTTTTATCTGTTTAAATCTTTTTGAAAATCGTAAGTATTTTTTCTTGATTTTTACTAAAAATTATGTGGCGACTCTGTCCTCTCGGAAACTCGATTTCTCTTAAACCATAAGTTTAATCGGTTTTTTTTTCGAAAACTAAGTCATTTTCCTGCTATATATCTTTTTTAAATGAAACATAAATGGCGACTCTGCTGGGGATTTAATTAAGTTCTAACCATAAGATTTGACTTATTTGACTAATTGATATTAACTGTTGAATTGTTTATTTGTGCTTAAAGTGCTTAAACTGCTATAACTGTCATTGCATTTCATGACATCTTCCTAGTGTATGTATAGTATATTAAGGACGGTTTCTGCATAATCGCAGCTGAACTTCTTATACTCAACCCTTTTTCGGAAGGATCGGCGATTTATTGGTACGTCATACGTCCAATGGTTGTCGTGAATTCCAGCCTAACTTATCCACTTGGGTTCCCGGTCTTTCAAAGCCACTCTTAGTCAACTAGCGTAGAGCGAAACCAAATCCCTGATTTAGCGCATTTTGAACTAAGTCGACCCAACACCCAAGGCGTGTTGGGCCCATTAGAAGCCCACATTGTGTCTATTTGGCCCATTTGCCAATAAAAAGACAATCATACTTATGTGTTTTAATTGAAGGATGTATATGTCAATTTTAAACAAATCAATTATCAAGTGGGGGTGGGGGTTAACTTACCTTTATTTATTTTTCTTGTAGGATGAATCCGACCTTTGAGCCGTTGAGAACTCGAATGGTGACTATACCTGATCCTTACCTCCAAGTTTGGTGGAAATTCATGAACAAAGACGATAAAAAGAAAGTGCAAAGACACATAGGCCATCTCCCGTCATTAATGGAAATGGTGGCTTATCCCGACTTGATTGGAACGATGGTGAAATTTTGGGACAGCAACAACATGGTGTTACCTAATTTTAAAAATAAAAATAGTACAAGATAGATATAAAATTCAAATTTCTAGTCTCACTGAGAGGTGCACCCAATCATCATTCCATTAAATGATATTTCGATTGTGGGTTCACACATCTATATTTGACAAAAAATTTAAAAATATAACACTACTATATATGATTTCAGGAGGGGAGCATGGGTTCATGTGAACCCGGTGACCCCCTCCAGCATACACCTCTGATTGTAGTAATGGTTCTCCCACCGGAGGGTAAGTGTGGGTGTCAATCACAGTGGTCTAGGTCGTGACATCAATATATAATCAAAACTGTAAAGGATTTTTTTTTACTTTTGATTTCATTGTACTTGTAAATCCCTAAAAACATTTTATTTTATTTTTAATTTGATATACCGGTAACTACATAGAGATGTGAGAAACTAAGTACAATGCATGAATTACCTAATACATGATGTTTTTGACAAATTAAATGATTTTTCCTCAATTTTTAGTCCAATCGTTACAAGTACTACTAGTCAATATTTACACATTTGTGATTGTTGAGGAATTCTCAATTTTATTTAAATTCATCGAAAATAAAGGTTCAAAAACACCCCTCAATTTTTAATTATTGTTTAAAACTATCCTCAAATAAGAACTTTGTTCAATGTTAAAGTCAAAATATTACATTGGCATTTATATATATATTTTTTGCACATAAGTTAAGTTCTTTTTCATTTTTTTTTTTCAAAATAAATCTAATTTTGATTCCGGACTCAACAACATATTTGGTCATATGGTCAAAATTATTTTCAATATTTTATTTTGTAGATATGAACAATAAAAAACCATTCAAAGTCTTTTTAGATTTGGTCAAATGAAGTTACTTATTATTTTGGATATTAATTACAAACGGGCAATCAACATTTATTAAATAATTTTTTTTTTCAATATGGTCAAATGTAATTCAAAGAGTACACATAAAGTCAATATCTGGTACATAATAGTCAACTTAGTCTTTTCCACATCTCTATATATTAAAAAAAATGTCTTCCTTATTGTAGCAAAGGTATCAATACTTACACCTAGCAAATCAAATTCAGTGTTGAGCTTTCATGTTGTATTAATTAGTCTAATTTCTTCAAAACACCTAAGATTCATGCCTATAAAAAGAAATGAATTCACGATGCATCAAAAGACTGTTCAACAAACGTTATTGATGTTATATTTTCTCTTGAGTTATAATGGGGTGGAAGGACAAAAAAAGCTATCCAAATTAGAGGATGCGGAGTTAGAGAAACAACTGAAAAGTTTGAACAAGCCGGCCGTCAAAACAGTAAAGGTATTTTTTTTGCAAAAAAAATATTTTATTTTACTTGTAAGTCCATAAAGACATTTTATTAGATAATATCACTTTTGTATTAGAGAAAAACATTCATTTGTCACATGATTCTTGGGAAATGGAGAACCTTCCCTTTCCTTCTTTGTGTGTAAACTTTCGTTGTAGTTGAAGATGGAGCAGGTTAGTCCGTTTCGATTTGTTTGTTTTACTTTTTTTTTAATCTATTTTGAGAAAAAAATAATTTGTTTTTGGAAATTATTTGATTCTATTTTTTCACAT